TGGGCTGGGAACATTTTGGGGTGTGAGCTTTTCAGGAGCCAATCCCAATTCAAATACTGGGCTTCAGAGCCCAGGAGGAATCTCCTCTGGGTCTGGGATTTATCAGGAGCCCCCTGAATTTGGGTGCCTGAGACTGCAGTGGATAAAATCCTGAAAAAACCCCACGAAAAACCCCAATCTGATGATTTTTTAATGACCCGGTGGGACCAGAGACAGAAAAGATGACTCTGACAAAAGCCTAGGAGATCATCAGATGTTATTTTTGTATAAGGCAATTCAAGAGGAAGGAAAATTCCCATTGAAGGCAAGGGAGATTTTTCATGAATGAGAACTTCAGGATATGGGCAGTGTTTTTTGGGTGTTGACAGTTTGCTTTACTTTCTCAGTAAAAACCTCTCACAGAGGGAAATGCTGCTTCTGTTCCAAGAAACTTATCTAAATCAGGACAAAAAGGAAATAAGAGGCAAAAGCTTAAACATCCAGCTATTATGGTATATTTCAAGCTGTTAAAATGCTCTTAAATATAGATCTGCTGCAGACCAATTTGGTTCTGTACCAAAAGATGAATTTTTTGTGGTGAGGAGCTGCAGAGGGATGTTCCTTGCAGGAAAAAGAGCACCACAGTTTCCTGCTATTTATCATGTTTATTTACTCACAGTTTCTTTATGTTTTCATTCATTGTCATACAGCTGCTTCAATTGTTTTAAAAAATGTTCACAGTGACTGGGAAAGGCCAATAACCCCAAAGTTCTGAGAGTAAGCAGCACCACTTCGTGCAAATTGATATTCTACACTGTCTCAGGGGAAAGTAATTTATTTGTTTGTTCTTACTTATTAGGATGCCTTTTTCATGTCCCTAACAATAATTACAATATTTTTTACCAGGTCCTCACATATGAAGTTGCCACCTGCATGTCTTTACATTTTATTATCTTTGAATAAATGCATTTTGCTTTTAAATGCCCATTTTAAAATCTCAAAGATCTGGCTGAGTGAACACATGTGCTCCTTCTTTTTTCTTTTGCTGAGGCAGATGTGACTCAGCACTTTGAGGTTTTGTCTTCTGAGACTGTCACATGTGCTGGAGTCACCAGGAGTTTGTCGGAACAAAGAAATGCTTTGTAATCCGAGCAAGAGCTGCAGATCATCACTGCAGGCACTGAACCACAGTGCAGGGTTTGTGTGGCACTGAAATGGGAACTGCTTCTTGGTAATAGTCAGGGATAAAAATTCAAATTTTGCTGAGCTGAGAATGCAGCAAAATTATTGAATAGTTTTATACACCAGGAGCAGGGACTTGTGGCTTAAAATTAAATAAAATTAATGTAAAAACCACATAGGAAACAGAAAAAGTGGCTTTAGAAACATCTCTGCATTTAAATACCAGTCTGACTGCACATGGACAGGCAGGGTGTGGGTCTTTAAAGGGATCCAAATATTCCTGCATCCCAACATTCCTGTATCCTAAAATTCCTGTATCCCAAAATTCCTGTATCCAAACATTCCTGCATCCCAACATTCCTGTATCCTAAAATTCCTGTATCCCAACATTCCTGTATCCAAATATTCCTGTATCCCAACATTCCTGCATCCAAACATTCCCACATCCTAAAATTCCTGTATCCAAACATTCCTGTGTCCAAACACTGCTGTATCCGAACATTCCTCTATCCCAACACTGCTGGATCCAAATATTCCTGTATCCAAACATTCCTATATCCCAAAATTCCTGTACCCCAAAACTGCTGTATCCAAGCAGTCCTGTATCCTAAAATTCCTGTATCCAAACATTTCTGTATCCCAAAATTCCTGTATCCAAACATTCCTCCTCTATCCAACCACTGCAGAAGATAATACACAAAAATTCGAGTCCATCCACTCTGCAAAATTCCCTTTTGAGCTTTTTCTTTGTTTGATACCAGCCTGCTTGAGTGAGTTTGCCCAGGTCACAAATGTGAATTATTCCATTAAGGTTTGCAGGATTATCTTTCCTGCCCAAACTGAGCCATCCAGCTCGTTCTCCCTGAACCTTCTTGTGGCACAGTTCAGTTTCAGCTCGGGTGGATGGGATTTTATAAAGATGCTTCAGTTCTTTTCCATGTGCAGCAGAGCTCTCACTACTGACTGAGGGTGAGTCTCAGTGGCACAGAAGAATAAAATATCCTAAAAGAATCCTTCCAAATCTCTCATTTAACCAAAGTGTGTCCTTTAAAGTCACCACAGCTGGAAGGATGTTGTAAGGAGGGTTTGCTGCTGCTGCTGATGGCCAAAAGCATTTCTCTTGTACAAACCAGGTGAAATCCCATGCTCACACAGTCTGTCTGTCCGATCAGCATTAAATTCAGAATGCAAGACTTTGTTAAATTCAGGATGCAAGACTTTGTTTGCCACTGACTCTGTTTTACAGCACCAACAGTAAGAGCAGCTCTGCAGAAATGAGTTCAGAGAAACATTTGGAATAACTGGGGCACAGAAAGGCTGCACTGAGGAACGGCAAAATCCACTGTGGGAGTATTTCCCATCTGTTGCTATTACAATTAATTTGTCAGCTCCTTATTGCTGTGATTTGGGCCTTTTGCCTTTTGAGATAACATGCACAAGCAGCTGCTTGGTTATCAAAAGGCTAAAGAGTTTTATAGGATTTGTGGCAAATTCCAAACACTTCCCAAGGAAAAGCTTTCCATGTGTGATGTTCCAGCTGGAATTATCTTTCCCTTTCCTTTCTCCCCTTCTGTTAGAGCTGCACAAGAGCCAGTCCCCCTGGAGCCAGCAGAATGAGCAAAATTTCCCCAGGTAATCACAGGTGCACTGACATTTAGGGCTTTTTGTGTTTCACAAAGTGCTTTTGTGTTAGAGATGTTTGTACACAGGATTTTGTAAAGGGATTTAAGCATTGCAGGGTTCCTGCAGCAATCAAGTCCTCGGGGTGCTCTGCTTTGGAAATCCTGTTCTCAGTGAAATCACCCTGCTGTATTCAAATAGTTCTTACACAAATCCAATTTTGCAAGGGTGTAGCTCTTACAGAAATCTCTGAGACAGCTGAGAAATTGGACCTAGTTTAATATCACACAAGATATTTTAACACCCAGTTCAATAGATGTCATATCTGGCTGTAAATTCAATGATAAAAGCTTTCTTTAATTGGCAACAAAGCTTACTTGTTTTCAAAACATAAACTTTTTTTTTTTTTTTGAAGCAGCTGTCACATTTTTTGCAAAAAAACAAAGTTCTGCAAAAAGATAGGGAGGTCTTTGTTGAAATTAAAGGATCTTCCTAGAAAGGACTGATTTATATTTATATGGATTTATATGTCTCTACAGATTTGTTTCAGAGTTTTGCTACAGTGACTTGATTGGAATTCATTAGTTCTTTACAAGCCTCTGTTTACAAATTATTCTGGGAAAAAAAAGAGTCATGCTGATAAATCTGGTTCTGATAAATCTGGTTCAAGCCAGTTAATTATTGTGTGTGAATCACTGTCCTCCCGCAATCTAAAACCTGACATTGGTTACATCATTCCTGTTTCCTCTGGTGGAAACCAAGCCCTGCTGAGGACAGGGCTCTGCTGAACACAAGTTCCCTTTTTGCAGCGAGGAGTGAATTTTGAGAGGCCTTTGCTCATCTGTCACATTTCATTACACCAAACCCACAAAATATTGGCATGTTCTGAGCAGTGCCCTGGGAGGCTTGTGCCATTTCTCCTGTTCCTCTCCTCATAAAAACCAACCAAAAATACCTCAGCAAGGTGTTTTCCTTCCTGAATGAATGCAGAGCCCTGGGGGATCACAGAGCCCAAGGTTTGCACAAGGAAATTCCTGGGAGGAATTCTTGTTGGGAGCAGAATCAGTGGGACAAATTCTACTGTGATCCCTTATTTTTCCTGAATGAAACCCAGTGCCAGGAGGAGCTGGAGGTGAATTTAAACGCAGATATACCTCAGAGTGTCCTCCCAGCAGCAGGGCTGCTTTTAGAACAATAGCACGAGGTTGTGTCTGATTGCTGAAATGTAATTTAATAACAAAATCCTCGGCTGCTCTGCGGAGGAGCCGAATCCAGAGCATTCAGCACATTCCTGCCATGGATGTGTGCAGCTCCACCTTGGGCCAAAATACACACAAATCAGTGGGGCAAGATTTTATTTGTGCAACATCGCTGCCTTGGGAGCGTTGGCCCAAGGAGCAGAGCTTCAATGTGCCTGGAATAAATCTGGAGGTGTCTGAGTGAAATAAATCCTGGTAGGCAGCACTAATTCCCAAACCAGAGCAGTGACATCACCTCAGGAGCACAGAACACACTGGCTGGCTGCAGAAAAGCTGAAATTCAGTGATTTTTCAGTTGAATGTGGGCAGTCTGATACCTGGGATTTCAGGTTCATGCTTTGCTCAAAGCATGGTGTGTGAAGATACAGCTGAGGAAAGCTGAACGAGCACACAACGCCTTTGTGTGTTTTCTTTTTTTAGTCTGTTTTCTTTTTTTAGGGGACCACAATTTTCCTGAAAAATGCATTTCCCCCTTCTTTTAAAGGCAAACAAAACCTTGCACAAATGGAAGAACCATGAAAAGCACCATAACCCTGTAAACCCAACACCACCTATGCTTTGGAATTGTTCTGGAGCCAAAGCTGTTTGTGGGCAATTATCAAGCCACACAATCTAATTAAGGGTTTAAAAAACAGAATTTTAGCTCCTGGCAGCAAAATTCCACTCTTCCTGTTTTCCAAAAGATAGCCCTGATTTTGTTTTGTGCCTAAATGAACTGATGGCTCAGCAGGCATTTCCAGCTCCATCACTAATATCAGGGTATTTCCATTTTCAGTTTCTGTCTGGAATTGAATGAAAGGTGAACAACAAAAAGAGATTTGAAAATGACTAAAAAGAGCTCTGTGTAAATGCACTCGCTCCCAGCCTGCAGTGCTGAGCACTTTGCTGTTTGGGCAGGAGTTAAAGGTGTCAATTCTATATAAATTCTCTGAAATCCCACATAAATGAGAGAGAACTTACCTCCACTTAGGATAATGACAGCTATAAATATTGCCAGGTCACTGTCATCTAATTCCAGTGCATTGAACTTCACAGCAAACTCAAACTTGGGCTCCATAAAGTCACAAAAAGGTTTCCTCAGGCTCTTCAGGAACTCCCGCGTCATGAACCCCTGTCCATCGGATATGAGAACCCCATCTTTATTCATCAGCGAGGCCAGCAGGGTGTAGATGATCTCGTGGACCCCATATTTGAGCAGAGTCACTTGGTCGTTGAGGTCGAGGTTGACGAAGCCCGGGATGTTCTTGGCGAACTCGGTGATCTCCTGCACGGCCTCCACGGAGCGGAACTGGCAGCGCTGGAAGATGCGGATGGCCACCTCCTTGTTCTCCTCCTGCAGCGGGGACACGTGCTTGCACTTGATCTGGTCTTCCCCCATCATCAGAGAGTTCATGTCATAAATAACGAAGGGCTGAAACAAAGGGAAAGTCCAGTTACTCACAAATATCCTCCCCGAGAGCGCCGGGCTCCTGAGGAACCCCAAGAGAACTCAGCAGCAACTCCTCAGACATCTCTGAGGAGCCCATCAAGGGTTCCCAAAGAGTTCAGTTGTCCTGAAAAACCTAAAGGGCTCCCCAAAGAGTTAAATTGTCCTGAAAAACCTGTCAAGGGTGTCCAAGTAGGTAAATTGTCCTGAGGAACATAAAGGGTTCCCAAAGAGTTGAATTATCCTGAGGAACCTGCCAAGGGTTCCCCAAATTGTCCTGAGGAACGGATCAAATGTTCCCCAAAGTGTTAAATTGTCCTGAGGAACCTGTCAAGGGTTCCCCAAATTGTCCTGAGGAACCTAAAAGGTTCCCCAAATAGATAAATTGTCCTGAGGAACCCATCAAGGGCTCCCCAAATTGTCCTGAGGAACGGATCAAATGTTCCCCAAAGTGTTAAATTGTCCTGAGGAACCTGTCAAGGGCTGCCCAAATAGTTAAATTGTCCTGAGGAACCTGTCAAGGGTTCCCCAAATTGTCCTGAGGAACTTAAAAGGTTCCCCAAATAGGTAAATTGTCCTGAAAAACCTATCAAGGGCTCCCCAAATTGGTAAATTGTCCTGAGTAACCTAAGGCGTTCTCCAAAGACTTAAATTGTCCTAAAGAACACATCAAGGGTTCCCCAAATAGTTAAATTGTCCTGAGGAATCAATCAGGGGTTCCCCAAATAGTTAAATTGTCCTGAGGAACTTTTCAAGGGTCCCCCAAATAGGTAAGTTGTCCTGAGGAATCTAAAGGGCTCCCCAAAAAGTTAAATTGACCTGAGGAACCTAAATGGTTCCCCAAATAAGTAAATTGTCCTGAGGAACCCATCAAGGGTTCCCCAAATTGTCCTGAGGAACCCATCAAGGGTTTCCCAACTAGTTAAATTGTCCTGAGGAACCTGTCAAGGGCTCTCCAAACAGTTGAATTGTCCTGAGAAACTGAAAGGGTTCCCCAAATGTTTAAATTGTTCTGAGAAACCTAAAGGGCTCCCCAAATAGGTAAATTGTCCTGAAAAACCTATCAAGGGTTGCCCAAATAGTTAAATTGTCCTGAGGAACCCATCAAGGGCTCCCCAAAGAGTTAAATTGTCCTAAACCTATGAAAACAAATATCCTCACGATGTTAAAATGATTTACAAAAAGGCCAAGTAAAGGGGGGGGGGAAGGAGCACTATTTTAAAGTACCCAGAGTTTTGCCTTTTCCTTTGTTTGTTTGCTTTTCGCTTTATAGAATTTTCTATAATTCCAGAATTGAAAGTTTGGAATGTTGAACAAAAGGTTAAAATGATACTACTTTTACCTGAATTATACCAGTTTCTATAAAAGAGAATCTAATGAGTGGAAAGGAACCTTCTTTTTTCTCCACAAAGACAGAGAAAATTCTCATTTTGATTCCTTTATTTACTTTCATGTTCCTTTCATGTTCTATCCTAGGAAACACTGCAAGTAATATCAATTTTATGGTATTGATTAACTGATAAATGAGACCTTTTGCTGTTAACTCATGTAAAAATAACAACATTAGGACATGTTTAAACCCACTCAACTCGTCTTTGGGAAAGCAAAAACAAATACCATGCTACAAACCACAATTCAGAACACAAAAATGAGGCTGACTGTGAAATAAAGTCAACTGGAACAAATCAATTTTGAAAGCAGCTTAGCAAAAGTTGTGCCAGAATACTTGCATTAGGATCTGGAAACAATCTCTTCTAGAATATGCAAAAGAAGTTCCTGGGTTTAAAGAAGTGGTTATGAGGGGATTTCTCAAATTCATTTGAAGAATCTTTTCCTCAAGAAGATTAATGACTGAATAGTTCATTGCTGCACTGAACAAATCTCACTGATTGGAATAGGTTTGTTAACATACTTGATTAATTAATGAAAATACAAGGGATCATACTCCAACAATCAGACTAAAGAAATACTTTTTTAAATAGTGGATCATTTATGATTGCAGATTGTAATAGGGATGCTGATTCTCATGGTTTTATGTTTACAGCTCCACACCACGACATTCCAGGAGGGATTAAATGATTTTCCCACTTGCACTGAGGATTTCAGAGTGAAACTGAAACAACAAACACAGTGCACTGAGAAAAGCCAGGAGAGCAGCAATTGTTCAGGTAATGGCATTTTGGCAGCAGCAAAGCCATTAAATACATATCTGCACATGTGGAATAGTGGAGTAACAGGACTGCAGCAGATGCTTTCAAAATGCACATTTTGGTTCTAGTGGGCAATTTCTTCCTGTTCTTTCTTTGGGAGCACCAAGTACAAGGAAAAGTCCATTATTAGTCCATGCCCATGTGCTTTAGAAAGCTGATATTACACCACTGGCCTATCCATGATAGATGAAAATTAAGAAAGAGCTCAAAATAGTCAAAGATTTTTTTAATATAAGGATTCAGATGAAGTTGAGAGTAGACTCTTCTGTCAAATGAGCTCTGTGTACCCTGGGAGATGATAAATAACTCATTCTAGTTTTGATACACTCACTTGCATATCCAAACATTTCAAATTAATTCAGATCGTACAGCAACTAAAAAATAACATGAATTTAAACTATGACCATAGTAAACAGTTTGATGCTCCAGAGCACCAAATCCATTGATAAAAACATGGAAGTTGTAACCATTAAATCCTGAGTGTCACTCTTTCAGTGGTATCTTCAAGAAAGACTTGAAAGTTGGCAGCACTGAAAAGCTGGATTCTGTTTACTGCCTTATTGCTGTTTCTAATGTGCCAAAGTTTAAAAACTCCCAAGAAAAAAAGGAGAATTAATTGATGCAATTGTACATTTACTGGGTGAGAATTGCAGTGGTGGAACTTTCAGGCACAAGCAGGTTGTACATCAGTTTCTGCAGAATAAATAAACTTAGTTAATTCACACTTTATGCTGAAAAGTTACATTGTTAGTGCCCATCACATCTTTTATGTGAGGGGTCAACCAATTTCTGGACAACATTAAAATTGTTATTTTAATTGCCTTTAAGGAAAGGAAGAAATGCCTTTTTGGGGCCTGAAGTATCTCTGAGTTTTGTGATGTCTTTGAAATTATTAAGGAAAATAAAATACACTCTCTGCTGTAATCCTGACAATAAAATTTCTGTCAATGATTCTAGAAAATGCATCACGCTAAGAGTTTTAAGTTGTGGAAAACTATTTTCCTCTTTAGGTATTAAAATAATGTTACCAACATGATCAGATATTATTTATGCTCCTCTCACTGATGCAGAAGATTATTATGGATGCCAAATGAAGTTTCTAAGGCAACCCAAAAATCCACTTATGACTATTCCTTACTTTTCCAAGATTTTCCTGTCCATTCTCCTAAAATTCCAAGTGCACCAACACAGGGCACTGATGTGACCTGAGCTAACCCAGAGAAAAGCAGGAGTTCATCAGAGCTTCATAAGAACGAGCATCACATAAGAACGTGCTGGGGCTGGAATCATTTGGCACTTAGGAAAAGGGATATTCCTCAGGGAGCAGCAATTCCTGACAGCTGGAGAGCCACCTTAAACAGATAGTGTGGGAGATAACCTCTGGGCAAGGAGAGGGCAAACGGGAAGAGAGGATCAGGGAATACAAAAAGGTTAAGGTGACCTTCAAATTCTTGACCTGGTTTCAAGTATTTTATTAGGTGAACTTGGAGTTTTTTCAAACAATGTTTACTTATCCTATCTAAAAACATTTCCTGTGTTTCAGAGACAGCTTGAAGTGTGTAACTGCCAACAGCAAAGCGGGGTTTTTTGGTGGTGTTTTTTTTTTTTAGTTTCGGTGTTTTTGCGTTTTGGCTTTTTTTAAGAGCTGCGCTGTCAGCTCGGCGAATCATTTACTCGGAAAAAAGGAAGAAGCAGAAAGAAGAGGGAACTGACTGATTTGTCTGTCGTCTTTCCTGTCAGGATGGCCCTCGCCTTGGCTTTGGTCAGAGGGAAGGACTTGATGTAGGAGTCGTAGAGGTGCTTGGCCAGCGCGCGCAGGTCGGCCGACTCGGGGTTCAGCTGCTCGATGTCGCTGGAGATCTCCGCCAGCAGCTTCTCCTTCTCGGCCTGCGGCATCCGCCCGAACCTGATGGCTGAGAGCAACACAAGGGTTACCAAAAACCCCGCACCCGAGGGGCTCTCCTGCCACCTTTGCACCTGCACTTGCCCCTCAAGAAGCACTTCGGAGTTTTTGTCGCCTTTCGGTGCTGAAGTTTGTGCTGAACGGGGTTAGGCAAGCACGGAAAGAGAATTTTCTGCATTTAGGCAAAACAGCTGGGGAGCTTTAAAGAAATGTAAACAAACAAATCATCTCTGTGCCCATTATCATACCTTGCTTAGAAATGCAAACCCCCTGGTTCTACCTCCAATCTACATAAAATGCAAAGAATATTTAAGATATGAAATTTCTGTTGGCTCGGGGTGGGAACCACCATTGAGCTTTGTATTTTTCTGGGCAAATCACCACACGGATCTGAGGTTCTTCATTTGTTTAGAAACAAAACCCTCACATGCCTTGCAGGAAGGAATTCCTAAACAGCTGAGCAGAATTGAAGGGCTATAAATTGTTAACACCAGAATGAAGGAGTGGGGAAGGAGGCTGTACAGGGAATAAAAAGCTGGAAAAGGCTGAGTTGTTTGTGGGACCTCTGTGTATCTGCAGTATTGAAAAATCAGGGAATGGTTCTACCTCATCAGATGAGCTCAAAATTGCTCAGATCTCTGCACCTCCTACTTTTCTTGTGTACTTCCTAGCCAAGATTATTTACCCATGTGGGGACTGAATGTTTCAAATGAGCCATCAAAATCAAGACTGATTTATCACATGATATTTCAGTAAACAGAATTTATTTTGTTTTATGGAAACAAAACAGAACAAAAGAGCATCTAAACAAGAAACGGAAGGAAGAAATCAAGGTTTGCATTTTGGCCCTAGGGGGAAATAGAAATATTATGAATATTTTTCCAGTGATTAGTGTGTTCCTTGGATAAAGGAAAAGTGCTGCTAAGATCATATAGAGATGATTTTAGTGGGGATGTTTATTTTGGAAACAAGCAGCCACTTTTCTATGAGTTTGCTGCAATGTGTTGATGGGCAAACAGAACATTTTTTTTTCCAAGAATAAATAATTATGCCAGAACACATCCCCCCTCTCAGTTTTTCCTATATTATATTTATTGATCAGCTGTCTTATTTCATGGCTGTAGAAACAAAGTTGTTTATTTTTATGACTGAACACTTTCAGCAACCTGGGAGTGAGACCTGCTGGATATTTCAGAATTACCTGGGTGTCCTTGATATTAAATGATACTGAGCACCACCAGGAAATGATTCTGTTGTGGGTCTGCTCCTGAGAGCTGAGATTTGCAAAAGCAGATTCATAATCTGGAATCCCACTGGCCATTCCATCAAAAGAAAAGGTGATCAAGACTCAAATGCATTTTTAATACAACATTTCATTATAAAGTATGTTTTAAATGTAATGATTTGTTAATAACATGGATATTTGTGAATCAAGAAATCCTATCTTACAATTTCATAGGCAAATACAATTTTATGTAGGATTTATTTTTCCATAGAATAAACTATTCTAAATGTATTTGGAATATATTTTATTGGTGAGATATCAGATGCAGCAGATTCTGTTCAATGTTTGTGAGCATTGCACGCAAAATCTGGGGCAAAATCAATTTTGTGGGACCAGCCTAGCAGTTTCTTTTTATAAAAATCCTTGTCCCTGTCATTTTCAAGGGGCAGAGACAAAAACCAGGGAGAGCTCAGGCAGTGAGAGGTTGATGGGAGGAATTGGGAAAGGAGGATTTTGGATGGGAGGAGGAGGAGGAGCTGATGATGATGCCACTGCCAGAGGTCAGGCTGGGATAGGAGAGCCTGGAGAGGGATCAGGAGGGCTGGGAAAAGCCTGGAGAGCTCTGGAAATCTGGCTGAGAGGATTCTCTCCCAGCTGCTCTCCCAGCAATCCCAGACTCTGCAGGTCTGGGCAGGAGCCTGCAGCTGGAGCGTGGATTTCTCTCTTTCCTTGGGCAGCTCCTCCTTTTCCTTGAATCCCAGCATTCCCCAAATGTCAGGAGCACAAAGCCCACAGTGAACACAGTCAGTCCCCCGTGCTGCATTCTGTCCTTTCTGTGAAGGACTACAATATTCATCCTCACCCCAGTTTTGCCTCTTGGAGAAGTTAAATGTAAAAAAGATGATTTTTATAGACTCTTCTGTAGGGCACTGCTCTTCTGATTGTCTGGATTATTTCTGGGCATAAAGGAGACTCCCAAAAGGCCATAAATGCAGTTTTTTACATTGGAAAACACAAGGTAAAGCCAGGCTGGGTGCCTGTCTGATTTTGGTGGTGGAGATGTGCCCAGATTGAGCAATCCCAATGACAAAGACATTGCCATGTGTGCTTTTTTCCCATTCCAGTAGCTGAGCTAACACCAGCAGCACTTTCAGCAGAATAGAACAAAATAAATGACATTTCAACACAAAAAGAACCAAGCTGCTGCTCAGTGGCACTTGAGAGCCCAGTCTGCACCACTCAGGGTTAAGGCCAGAGCTGCACTGTGGCTAGAGAAGGAAAGGAAAACAATATTCCAGCAATGAGAACACCACTGTCTTTTTTAACCTTTAGCCAAGTGCTAGGGAGCATTTCTACGTGAAAAAATGTGGCTGTAGCTGCTGAGTGTCCCCTTGCAGTCCCCCTTTTGTCCTGATCCTTTTGCAATAATACATCCACACAAGGCTGGAACCCTGAGGCACAAATAACCCACATTCTGCCTCAAAGCATTCAAAATTCTGATAATTTCCCTACACAAGTGGCTGAAGTGGAATCTGGAGATGCAACATTAAAATGTGTCTCAGTGTCATTGGTGAAACACCCTGGTTCTACTTCCAATCTACATGAAATGTAAAGAATATTTAAGATATTAAAAGAATATTTAAGATATTAAAGGCCTGTTAGCTATGGGTAGGAACACATCCATTGCTGAGTTTCTTTAAGCTTCTGGGTCCTCAAAAGTGAAATTCAGCTTTTTTTTTGATTAATTAATTTATAAATGATGAAGGAATGAGGGCGTTTTGTAACCAGAGAGGGCAGAATAAAAAAGGGTAAGTGTGGAAAGCAATGTTTGAATAAAAACACTGAGTTCTTGTTGGGAGAACTCCTGGTTGGAGCAAAGGAAAATGTTCCTTGGAGCCCTGGGGCAAATGGTTTTGCTCTTTTCCTGCCTCCCCAAATCCTAGAACCTTTTGGTGCTACAGCTTCTGCCTGGGCAGTGGCTAAAGAGAGAAAAATGCAGATGAAATGTGAATTTTTTGAAGCTGTTCTAGATGTTGTAAGACACAGAGAATGGTCTGGGCCATCCCTTGCTGAGGGAGCTGCCCATGGATCCCACGGACGCCACTGGGAGCTGTGCTGCCAGGCCAGGGGAGAATTTGGCATGCACCTTGAAAATAATAATAAAAAACCCTCTTAAATTACTATAAAAATTACTATAAAAATACCCACAGTAGCATTTCAAAATTAGATTTATTTTTAAGTGTTACTGTTGCATCCCAGGAATTTGAAAACCATATTTTCTATTAGCAAAACATTTCCCAGACCAATTTACATTCAGTGCATGTATTAAACTTTGCAAACCACAATCCAGCTTCCCTCTTGGGGACAGCACACTCATTTTTTATATTGAAAATAATGAAAGTTCTAAAAAAACCACAGAGAAATTATTTTCCCAGTCATGTTTGCAATTCTTTACCCTTAGAATTACATAAGTCTCTATGTTATGACATTTAATTCCTGTTTTTACTCAGCTTTGCCAAAGCAAGGCAACAAAGAATCTTCATTATGTCCTTCTGCCCAAACATTCATAAGTATTTCCACATGAATTGCTCTGGTAATTTTAAAGTTTAGAGGGATTTTCTCCTAGAGCAGGATTGTGATATTCTTCCTGCCATTACTTATGGTAAAGGAGGCGACCACAGATGGAGGTGCCCTAGGAAGGAGGAGGATGGGAATTTTTAAAACTGTACAATTCATGAAAATGAATATTTTCATTTCAATTTGTTGGGTTTCAGTATGAGAAGTGCTAACTCAGTGATGCCAACAGCCCTTGGTAAGTGACCTGTGCAGCAAATTCGAGTTGCTGTTATTCACAAGGCTTCAGATTCTCTAATCCATATTTCCTAATAAAGTCTTTGGCTTCCA